TTCTCCCAACAGAAGACAACTGCATCCAAAGGAAACTACTATCATCATCCCGTAACGTGGTGTTGTACTGTGTAATACCGACTGCAAAGTTAGTGGCGGTGTCTGAATGGCAAATTTAACACTCAAGAGTTCTTTCAGTGCCTTTCTAGACTTCCAGGCAAAAGGCTCACAGAAGCCAAGTTGAGAGGAGAATAGCAGAAGTACTGTCAAATACTAAACAATTAGAAGAGACATTCCCTTGGGGCAAATGTGCACTGGGTTTGGGTCTTTCCAAAAAAAAAAAAAAGCACGCCCCAAAAAACCCCAAACCAAACCCCCACCTATATATTTGGCCAAGTATATCCCTTTAACGATTCATGACTCCAGTATTTAGCAGCTCACTTTCAAGACCTGCTCTTTGTACTGGTCAGGAAGAAAAAATTTGATTTCACAGCAAAAGATCTTTTCCTTCACTTTATTCCTACAGTCAGCAGCTAGTTTTAGCACAGCAGCTTCCACGCCTTTCTTTATTTGGGTCCCACTGTTTGCATTCCTGTAGAACACAATATATCACAAGTGACCTGTGATCACAACAAGCCACGGCATTATTACACTGGCTGCACATATTTCCAGGCTCAGCAAGATATAGCAGTGTAAAAGTCAAATGCATCAGCCATGCAAGTACTGAAACAAAAAATAAGCTGTTTTGCGAAAGTCAATACTCCTACATTCCACTGTCACGTCCTCCAAACAGGAAAATGTTGGTTCAGCAAGACATAAGCCACCAAAATCGGCTAGTTAAGCATTTGCCAAAAACCCAAACTAGTTTCAAGTCAGAATTATGCCACATTTATATGCCATTATGTGACAGCCATCATTCAGAGTTAACTGGCTTTTAAGATCAAGACTAATTCTGTTGTCTTCATATTCTGCCACCTTCATCTTTCAGCAACTTACTCATCTAGCCTATCATTGCTTGAACACATCAGTCTGCAGCAGGTTTTGGCACCACAGACTTCCTACTGCTTGGATAATGTCGACATATAATTAGCTGCACTTGCACCACACGTATTTCAAACAAAGCAAAGGTATTTATCATTTGAGAAGCAATGTAGGCAGCCTGAATCCGACAAAGCGTTGACAGAGCTGATAAGAGAACACAATACCAAGACTTTGCTCCAGCAGGTTACAAAGCCTCTGCTCAAAAATAATAAAAAGTCATAAAAAACCTGCAAAGAAAATGCAGTTCTAAGCTGTGCAGTAACAAGCAAAGCAAACTGGCAGTAATAGAGGAGAAGAAAAATCACTTGTATTAACATCTGCGGCTAGCTCGAGAGACACTGTTGACACAGTCAGCTCCAAAGAATCTGCAGGGAGAGTATTCTGCAAGCTCCAGTGTTTTGTGCAGATATTCTAGGGGACTTTTATTGTGCTGTGTCAGCCAACGTTAGCCATTAAGCTTGTTTGCTCTGCACAAATATTCCAGCAAAAGGAGACATTAACAAGGACTAGAACAAGTTTGTCTTGGAGTAGAATTGTGAACTTGATGTTTACAGGCAACTCTAAGCCCTTAAGTCAGAGTGAAGAGTTGTTAAAGAAAACCAGAACACCCATGTACACATACACAAACACAGAGAATATTGTGACAGGTATAAAAAAACCCAGCACGAGTAGCTTCTAAATTGAGAGGAACAGCTACCTTGAGGAGAGAAGAAAGGGTTTAAGTGTTTATTAGAAGTCTTATGCTCAGAATTTGGATGGTACAGGGCCAGTAAAAATACATGTAGCAGGTTGCCTCAGGAGTAGCTGATGAGTTTGTCCTACAGGAAACGGGCCAGACTAATGACATTTTCAAAATTGAAATTGGTCCTTTATCTACACCATTTCACTTCTTCCGCCCCGCTCTGGATCCCATAGTTCACTGCTACTGTACTAACTGTGCAGACCAACAACCCCGACAGCTCAAGAGAGTCCGCGGAGCAGTAACGCCACTCCGCACCTCTTCCCCTTTTAACGGGAAGCTATTTCAGGAGAGGCAGAGGCTCTGTAGGCTGGAAGGCAAGCTGCTTTTCCTGATTACAGCTTAGAAGGGGGGTAAAAAAAAAAATAAAGACACTAGAGTCCAAGCTGACAGGTGTCTGTGTTTTGGTTGGGTTTTTTTTTTTTTTAATAATCCCACTCCCTGATTACAAATTAACTAGGTCCATCCCATATCCCTCCTCTAAAGCTACTGATTTATTTACCTAGGCACTGATCTTCATCTGACTAAAAACGTCAGCAGCAAAGCAAAACACCTTCAAACTAAAGTCTCCCACGGATTTGGAAAGTTCAAGTCGACAACACGGCAACTCGTTCGGAAGGAAAAGCCAACCACAGAGTGCTCGCCTGGGTTTCTATTTAAAACCCTTTATGGCAGGTTTCTTAATTTAAGCCAGACACAGCAGCAGCCCAGCCGCCTCACCGCAGCGCTGCTCTCCAACCCCAGCCCGCGAGGGGTTCAGAGCAGCCGC